AGTCAGCTGGGATAGGCTCCAGCCCCCCATGACCCTGGTGAGGGTTAAGGTGGAGAGATGATGGATGGATAATTTATTATCCAAGTTAAATGCAGTGCTCACAATAACTTTAACATTCAAGCACCAGCAGGTTCTACTGCAGGAATCTTTACGTCTGGCCTCGGTGTGGTCCCAGTTTGGTCCTATTTTGGTCTCATTCTGGTCTTAGTTTGGTCCCATTCTGGTCTTAGTTTAGTTCCAGTTTGGTTCCAGTTTGGATGCATGGATCACATAGTTCTGAATGAATCCAAAGATAAAAACAAAGTGACAACAGCTGCAGACAGAACCTGTTTTTATTGTGTAGTGGAACATTTACAGCTGGAGGGAGCTGCAGTCTTATGGACACAATAGTGATCACCAACATCCTAATCAATATTGAGACAATAATGACTATCTTTGATTGTAGAGATGAAACAAACACTGCTTCACACCTCAAATAACTTTCACATTTATTCCATTAAGACCAGTATGAAGGCTTACAGGACCACGTCCTTCCTTCCATCATCCCTACATGCTTCATCCTCTGGAGGGTATCGGGGGGCGGAGTCTATTCCAGCTGACTGTTCACCTGGTAACCAGTCCATCACAGAGACTCACATTCACACCTACACACAGGTACAGTCACCAGGTAACCTCAGCGTGTCTCTGGACTGAGAGAGGAACCTGGAGAACCCAGAGAGAACCCAGCAGGGAGGACATGGAGAGAGCCAGAACCAGACCAGTACCTTCCAGCTGTGAGGCCACAGTGAGAACATCTGAACCACCGTATCGCCCTTCCATACTGCAGGAGTACTGTACGACTCCACTACACTACAGCACTGCTATGCTTCTATACAACAGTACTACACTACTACAGTGCTACAGTATTGCAGCAGTACACTACTACAGTACTACAGTATTACAGTGTTACACCCCAAACATTAGCACAGCAGGCTGTTAGCAGCAGATGCTAATGCTAACAGAGTAGAAACCATCACACATTTACAGGTATGCCAGGTGCTACAGGGAGCACAGCGTGCTGAGAGCAGACAGATGCTAAGCTAACGGCTAACGTACGATAGTAAACACGGAGAGTATCACCTGAAACAAAAGAGCGTTCCTCGCGGAGCCTTACGTCAGGTGTGAGGCGTTAGAGCGCGCTGGTACGGCCTTACCTGGCAGGTGAGATAGCTGCAGTTCTCACGGGTTTTCCGTACACTGCGGCTGTGAACACCGGAACTACAACCTTTGCCCCGGAAGCGGAGCATCTGTCTACATCCGGGTCACGAATCTCGGTTTTCGCGGACGCTTCGTTCGTTTATCCGGTAAGTTTATGGCATTAAATCGGTCTACAGGTTTTATGCCGAGCGTCACGGCCTAAAGCACAGCTGCACAGGTGTATCCGAGCAGGTGTGCCCGTGTGACGCATCGTGACGCTGTAGCGGTCGTAGATTGATGCTAATGCTAACGTTAGCCGCGCGTGCTTCGTTGTGTTTCTGCTCTTCTTCAATTTCAAACATCTAAAAAGTAGTTAAACGGCAACAACAGTCAATCAATCAATCAGTCAGTCAGTCAGTGTTCTCTGATCGCAGTCAGTTCTTATACGAGACGTTCTTCTTATTATTCTGATCATTTAACTTCCGGCCTTTTATGATTTCTGTTCCAAAACGTTTAAATGTGAGGTCATGTTCTAACAGGAAACATGCAGCAGCGAACCATTCTCAGTCCAGAACGGTTCTTCTTTTTTTTTTATTCTAAACCAGCAGAACCTTCATGAGCTGCAAAGGCTTCGTCACTGTTTCTGATGAGTCTGATTGTCTTCATATCAGCTGCTGCAGATCCACAGTTACACGTTTGTTCTGCTTGGAACGAGCATGTGAGTGTGTCAGAACCAGAACCAGAACGTCAGTGAAGTTACCTGTCTGCAAATCACAACACTGCACAAATAAAATACGTACGATTCATTTAAATGATTTACAACAAACATATCAAGATCATCCATCATCTCTACACCTTAATCCTCACCAGGGTCATGGGGGGCGGAGCCTATCCCAGCTGACTCAGGGTGAAGGCAGGTTCACCTGGACA